ACATTGTTTGGCCCGATGATGACTGCCACGCCTCCTTTCTCTGATGGAACCCATTACCACCCAACCGACGGCAATTTATGTGTTGCATTGTTTATGACAGATTTATCGCAAGTTAATGACATGCGACCGCTGATTTATGTAGCCAACACAAATATGCCAGCGAAATGACGCGGAGCTGACAGACGAACTGAACGCATACTGAATGGCATCTGAATGGTGAATAGTGAATGTTGAATGGCAAGGATCTGTCCATCAGAAGCGCTAATGAGCACACCTCGGCTCTCGGATCGAAAGGGAATATATTCCATTTGATCCGCAGTATTGGATGAGGATGAGTTTTTCCGCCCGAACTGCAAAAGCTGCAAGTGAAATAAAGAAGCTACGGGGGAGTGATTATTTTCACATTCACCCAACTGCAGATAATTTGTTTACTCTTTTTGTTCTTTCGCTTTTCATGTCCTTTTAAAGGGTATTTATGGTTTAATGAGATGTTTGTAACAAGTGAAATAAAATATATGTATTGTGGGGCAATAATGACCGTAATGAGGATGCACAATCCCACTATCTTTTGTGTCCTTCGGAGTTTTAAAATTATGTTATCCTATGAAATAATATTATAATCATTTACATTTGATCTTGTTGATAATTCTATTCAATCATATACTTTTCTATGCTATTTTATCTTTTTCTTACCTAATCAAAACTAACCAAGACTTTTTTTGAACGTTTTGTCACATTCTATAGTGTTCCTTTGAATGCAAGATAAACAATTTGTTATAGACAGTGAAAAAGAATATTTATCACTGGTTTTCTCTGCAAAACTCGATAGTATCATACTAAATTTAGTTACTAATAAATAAGAGTTCCCTTAATTATGAAACTTTTTATAGTCTGAAAAAGGGTATTTCAAAAAAGAGGCCTTGCTATTTCCAAGTTGCCTTGTTCTTCTTGCAGTTTCCTTTTTCTCCTGTTGCCTGGGCGCTGTAATTTTAATAATGAGAAATTGTCAGCGCATAAAATGAAGTCCAGACAACGACAGCTGACACAACAACCCACAGTAGTGGACCAACCGACCGACCGAAGAGCCAAGTATCCCCAGCATCCAATTCCCAACCCTCCGCCACTTTTAATTTAAAGCTTTTGCACATTTACGCGTCAGCTGCCCGTCTTGTTGGTCTTCTTCATGTTGCTGTTGTTGTCATTGTTGTTTCTCGTATATAATAATAAGTGCTCACTCTTCTTCTTGTTTGAACTTCCTTTCTGGTCCCGGCCATGCAAATATTTATATGCCAACGTTGAACTTTGTTGATTACAAAAAAAAATGGAAAATGAAAAAAGCGGAACGAAACGGAACACGAAGAACGGAGCAACAAAAGTGAAAAGATTTTTTTGTATCCTTCAGATAGGTTTTTTTTCCCAGTCCAGTAATTCTTTTTTATTTTTTGGGAAGTAGGTTAAGAGAAAACACGATTTTTTCAAGGCTCTCGTTGGCTTCCTTTGTACGAATAAGTTTATTTGGCCAAAGGTCAAGAGTAATATACCCGAAAGTGATGTACTCGTATAAACACTATATGTATGCACGATCCTTTGCGTGCTATGAGAAATGGCCAAGCGAATTTGGGGCTCCAGTTCTCAGTTTTTTGAGGTCAGCCATATATTTCAATTAAAGTTGAACATGCAAAGCATAAAGAATAAAATTCCGACGGCTTGAAGTCAAATTCCTACAGTTATTTGTTCTCCTTCTTTTTTTTTGGCTTGCGAAATTCGAAACTCCACGAGAGCTCATCGTGTGTTAATGCTAATAAAAGATGATTTATGCGTGTGGAAAATGAAGCGAAATATTCTTGGGTTCAACTTCCCAGGGAACTTTGTTGTGGTTAATGCGTGCGACTTGCTTCCTGGCCGACAGCACAGCAACATGGCAATATCGACTTTCCAGTCGATGAAGAAGTAGAAAAGCAAGAAGTGGAGGGTAATTAACACGCTGAGCAACAGCAGAAACCACAGCACACAAAAACACCTAGAACGTCAGCAAGAACAATGCATAAATCTACTTTCCTGGTTCAATGCGCCTGCTGCGGTTGGCAAACGTGATTAGAAAAGAAAAACCAAACGCGAGGGAGCCACAGCCATATGAAGAACTAGTTTTCTTTTTTTTTTCTATAGAGGTGTATATCTTTAGCATAATGGGAAATCGAAGCCGCCGCCGCCACACAAAACGGTAAAAAGTAGAAAGAACTTCAGCTAACCAAGCCCAGTTGGTTGACTAGAAATGGGTAAAAGCCGCCGAGGAAGCTTAGAAAGTGCAGGCTGGAAACTGAAAACCAAAGAAGCAGGGCAATGAATCGTTTCGGCCACATTTAAAAGGCTTTTTCTTCACTCCGCTGGCTGAAAAAAGCAGCCAAGCGCGAATTATGCCCATGAAACATGTGTTGTAAAAGATACTGGGGAGTTTGAAATTGAAGTAATTACAAATGCACAGCCATTCTGTGTACTGTGTACTGTGCATTCTACATTCTAAATGTGCCGAACAAAGGAAGGAAAATGCTGAAAAGAGAGACGGGCGGAGTTGCATGAATGAAAGACCCAAATGCATACACAAATAAATTAGCAACTAAACAAAAAACAAAGGCTGCTGGGGGGAGAATGGGGGTATGGGTTTTTGAATCTGCTGCGATGTAATTATGTAAAAAAGAGGGCGCGTGCATCCACATGCATATGGTGGTTATGGCAACGTGGCAACACATTTGCACATTTCATTATTTAAACAAAAAGACGATGGCTCGGGTAGGGCAATAAAAATGCTGCCTTCCTCACTTTTATTAACATCCATTGAGAGCTGGCTGCCCTAAGCAGTGCTCATTATGCTAAAGCTCCCTGTCTATTAAAATTAAAATGCACTCTTTTTTTTATAATCTTTCATTCGCAAAGTAAGAGAACCGAAATTGCCGCAACGTGGAAAGTGGGGAGGGAGTAAGGGAAACTGGTCTGCCACTTCAGTGATTTTCAATATGAAAATGCAGCCAGACAGAGCTGACAGACAGACAGACAGAAAGGCAGACAGCCGAAATGGGAGGGAGTTTGGTTGGGGGTCTGAATGCATGTTACCGCATGCTTGGATGAATACGAATGCAGGAGCATTATGTGGCAACAGTCAGGGATTGCGGTTTTCAGCCTATGCAAATTAGCAGATATATATCTGCCATAAACGCGATACACATGTGGATAGTAGATAACCGAGTGCTTGCATTTATCGCAGCAATTAAAGTAACTCATCGCAAAGTTGAGGCCTTTTAAAGATATGTCTACACAGAAACTAAAGGTCTGACTAGCAACAATTTATAACATTTCTATTAAAGTTCTAAAAATATTCACTGGAGAATTAAAATCTCCTTTCAAAGTGCTTAAAAGTATGCCACAATAATTTTAGATTCATATTTTTCATAGTATACTTTTAGACACCTTAAAAAATGCATTTTAAATCGTATATGTTTTTAAAAAAAAATTGTCTATTTGTTATACATTTAATGCAGTCTTCTCTTAATATATTCTTGAAAATTTAAGTAAACATTTTTTCTCTGTGCATCCTCTCAATCAATTGCAACAGCTGTCGATCCTTAAGAAATTCAAGGCTGCGTGTGCTGAGGTGGTGAACAAAATGTTTCGATAATCTCTGCTAAACATGCCATGTAAAATGGCGAACAAATCAAAAGTTGAGTCCGAATGGCATGGAAGTCAAATAAATATTTGAGAAAATATAAAACACACATATTTCGTATTCCGAATCCTTTATCCCCACTGCTACTAAACACAAAATGGCAATTGAATTAGAAATTCTTGAGAAGTTGTCAGTTTAGATAACTGGCAATTTGTATGCGGCGAGCAATTAGAAAATTTTGGGCCTCAAAATAAAATAACAAAATAACAGACACACACGAAGGCGAAAGACAGAACAGACAGGACAGGCAGACGGACAGACAGACAGAGAGATGAGCTGATGAATTTAGTGAGCAAAAGCTTGGCCATGCATACAAAATAAACAAAGAAATACAAAAGATGTTTCCTTATTTATGGCCGAGTCCCAGAAATATATTCAAATATGTAGATTTGCCAAGTTTATTTCCCTCTTTCCCTTTTTTGAGAGCCCTATGCGCATACATGGCTGGCAGAAAGGCAGGAAATAACCGAATTACAGGACACGACCTTTCCCATTTCGACCCCGACATTCTAAGATTTTACAGGGTGAAATTTGTTATTTATTTGCAATCTGGGCTTAGTTCTTAATTATTTTCTTGCAACTGTTTTGTAACCAAACAAGAAAGCTTTTCCATTTTATTCAATTGGTCTAGAAAGGATACAAAATTGAATAATATTATTTTAAAAATTTGAATATTATTCCTTTTTGTTTTTTTTTTACTTTCGGAGGATACCATTCCAAGTGATTCATGTCAAGTTGCAACACTCAGGGAAACGTAATCCTTTGGCCGCCTCTTGTCTGCATTATACGCTCTTGACTTGCAAATTGTTTGCGGTTATGGCTTGCATTGCAAATTCTAAGTAACAGCCAGCTTAATTAAATTAAGCATACACATCCAGCCACGCCCTTAAGCGAAAGGGGCGACATCTCACATCGCTCATGAATAGGCATTACGTATGCGTTGAAATTTAAGTGGCTGACACACACGCACGTGTCATGAACACACCATATACATCGTACACCACCGTACACCATACACCGTACACACACTTCACACGGACACGGCTTGTTTGCCACTTTTGCATATGTATGACATAATTAGTGTCATAATGACACAGCCAGCACACCCACACATATGCCAAAGCACTTGTCTAGCTGGCTAAAAAGTTGAAAAGTCTCGGAAGAAATGGCCCTAGATCATTTGGAATGCTAATAAGATGCCCTACCCACTACCCACATCCTTCCACTCATTTTCTGTTTGCCCCTCAACTAATTTGCATATTTTTCACGCTTTTTGTTGCAGTAAATTACTTAAAAATACATTAAAAATGTTCAACCGACTGCAGCTGCATCTGTAGTGGACGCCAGGATACAGCGGATAAGGATTCTCCTTCCCTTCGGTCCACGCGCAACAACAACAAGGACACTTCTGAGCAAGGTAAGTGAAAATAAATATTATTACTTCTCTTCTTACGCTCCCTCATAAATATTCATTAAAATTTTGTATAATTTATGTCCGCGCTAGCATAAGCGGAAAATAGAAAAAAAATCCCTTCGCGTCCATTTATTTATATATCATTAAATATTACAACATTCAATTGAAGCTCCGGTTTCTTTTAATACTTTTTTGTTTGTTGTGGTTTTCGGTTTAATTGAGCATAAAGCGAACTACAAATATAAATAAATTGCATTAAATAAATATGGGTAGACAAAGGGAAAAAATTACAGAGCTGTAAACCGCAATTATTTTTATAAATGTGCAGCACAACTAGAAAAGTGCTACACAAAAAAGAGCACAAAACACTTCTAAATTTTCAACACTTTTCCCAAAGAGTTCATAACTTTTCTCACTCACTGTCAGCCGCACAACAAAACACACCCACACACCGAAAAAACCCCATCACACCCATTCTTAGCACTTGTTGTTACTTTTTTATTGCCACCCCTTTTGTCTTATTTTTTTTTTGGGAAATGCAAAATGCGAAAATGCATTGTGACAGCCATTTTTTTTTATATGTCAACAGGAGGAGCATAAAAAAATACGTATACGCCACAAACACTTTGTCGTTGCTGTGCTGCATAAGGAAAAACACTTTTTAAACATTTTCAGCGGCACTTTTATGGGCGTCTAAAACAAACGGGGGCGAAGTGAACAAAAAATGGCTGAAAAGCTTTACGCGACGCCGGCAACTATTAATATACTGCTGTTTTTTCGGTAGATGTGGATGCGTGAAAAGCCACTGTTATAAGGAAAATCTTTTCACACAATTACGCACGAGGTTTAAGTTTTTTATCGCAAGGTTTTTGTAATAAGTTATTATTAAAAGGTGGCTAAAAGTATGCAAAGAAAGATTAATGCAACTTTCGGATTAAAAGGTATTGCTCAAAAGTATGAGTGCTTCATTTTAAAACCCTTTATAAATATTTAGATTACTAAAAGTTTATCAATTTATCGTGAAACGGCTCACGATCTCATCTCTAAATGCTAGTCCCACCCACAACACCCAATTGTCACTCGGAAAAACATAAACGACCCCTTTCGCCCCAAGCAGTATGCAACACTCTCTGGCAATATATGGTTTTTTAAGCTTAGCTGCAGTTCCGCCATTTTTTCTCACATGCAACACAGTAGTCCTTCGAAATGGCAGACAAATTATGCGTTAAGGGTGCATCCCTGCGGCTCAAAAAGAGCTGAAGAATTTAATTAAATTTGCACAAAGTTAGCAGAGGGCATGAAAAAACCAAAAAACCCTGACCAGGGAAACTCTGGCAAAAGCACCGAGCACTGACAACCTAAAATGGCAAGAGCCAAAAAATTGGTGAAAAATGTTTAAATTTCGCACATGGTTTTCAATTGGACGCGCTGCTAGAAAAGCTGCCCGCTTTAGAGCTCACTTAATTGGTTTTCCAGCAGGAAAAAGCAACGGCAACGGCTGCTCACCGCAAATTAAAATAAAACCAAAGGCCACTCTCATATTCCGACCGGCTGAAGAATAAGCAAAGCCGCCACGGCTATACAAAATTTAAATTGCATTGCCGTTTTCGCCCCATCGAATGCAGGCGAAAGGACAAACACAATGTTCAACGGCTTATTTGACTTTATGCAAATTGATTGCATAAATAATTTATGATTAAGGATCGGGCAATAATTTGCCAATTTAAATGCACAATTAGTTTAATTGATGCGCTGTCACACGCCCACCAAAAACGAAAAACGAAAAAAAAACCACAAGCGAAACAAAAAATAAATAAACACACACCCGTCAAATAGCTGCAATCCGAGCGAAACAAACTCAACGACTTTCTGTACTTGACAAATAAATAATAAAATGTTTATTTCCATTTGGAAAATGTTGCCATGTTGACAGGCCGGCCAGTACATAATTATGCAAAATTCAGCACCAGCTCCATGTGCAAATAAATAAATGAAATAAAGTTCCAAACAAGCGACTGCAATTAAAATTAAAAATTAACAAAATATTTTTCCCAGCATTATAATCGCACACAAACACACACACCCACATAAAATTAACACCCGCACATGCCTGGCATCGAGTTAAAGCTCATTAAATCTGCATTTGCATGCGAAATACATAGTTTCAACACCTCCCCTGCTCGGCCAAAAACAGAGCCCTTCTTAGCCAGAAAATATGAATTTTAACGAAAAACCAATTAATGCAGCCAAGCGGGCTGTCTGCTTCTGCTCCTGATGATGCTCGTCCTGCAACTGAAATATTTTCTATAGGGGAGTGTAGGGTAAGGTGACGAACGATTCGTTTTTTGAATGTAACTTTTGTAAAAATCAATATTTTTCAAAAGTGTAAACGCAGAAAGTTGCTTACATCTACTGAGCATATCCCTGTAAAATTCGAAATTCCAATGCAGCTAAATCCCACAGCGTTTGGCGTGAACCCTACTTTTTTTGCACTTTCAAAAGTTGTAGGGTAATGTGACGAACGATTTGTTCTTTAATGTAACTTCTCCAAAAATCAATATTTTTAAAAAGTGTAAAAGCAGAAAGTTGCTTACATTTACTGAGCATATTTCTAAAAAAATTTGGATTCGAAATTTCAACGTAGCCAAATTCCACAGCGTTTGGTGTAAACCATCCTTTTTACAAACAAAAAAATACATTTTTTTATATATTATTTACGGAAAGGTTATTTTCGATACGGAAAAGGAAAAAAGTAATAAGATAATACCCAAACTTAAAAAAAAAAATGGTCAAAGTGCAAATTTTTTTTTAAATTAAATTAAACTGACGTCACTATTAAAAACAACAATAAAACTGCAGCAGTAAATGTTATCTGGTATTATTATATTTTTTTTACAAATAATCAACGATAACAGTTAAAATTCTTGAATAAAAAAAGTTCGTCACAATACCCTACAAAAAGTTCGTCACGATACCCTACAAGGTAGACTTGGAGCAAAAACGGTGTCACTCTCAAACGGCGCAAAAGAAAAAAACGCGAGGTACCAAAAACTGTTGATAAAGATCTCATGTATACGTGCATATATTTGCCTGATTTTATTTTCCACTCATCTTTGCTCTGGCACTGCTGAAACACAAGTAAATTGAATGGGTTTGCTACTTTGCGCACCACATTTTTAGCGAAAATTACCTCACGAACAAATTACGGGACTTCTTATTAATATTACTGTAAATACATTGTCGACACGATTAGGGGAGACGACAACATTTATTTGGAATTTTTGTCGTGACGTCATATATGAGATTCGACGAGTTCGTCACATTACCCTACTCGTCAAATTACCCTACACTCCCCTACATATGTGTGGCAACTGGCTCTCCCATTGCATAAATATGTAAATGTACAAATTTTATGTGAATTACCATCAAATTATTTTTCGGTTGGTTTTTCACGTCATTCCGGCTAAAATTTCCCTACCCAGCCAAACAATTATGCTAAATATTTGTGTGCCTATGGCAGCTGCTGTTTGCAAATATTAAAGTCTAATTAAAAGGAAATTACCAGTCGGTATTCGTCATAATTAATTGCTTTAAAATCGACGAGATTAACTTGTGATTTCAGGGAATTGCGAAAGTTGAGGAAAATACCGCTGGCACGCACCCTTTAAACCTTTCAGTCTTGCATCAGAACTTTTTATTTACTTATTTTTTTTATGCACTTTCCACTGGCGTTGGCTTTTTCCCCCTGGAACGTTCATTAAGTTCGAGTGTTGGTCACAAACGTTGCGCATAAAGTGCACTTTACGAATTCGCGCATTTTTATGACAAGATTTCAGCTTTTCATTTGAAACCAAAAGGCCACCACTCGCCACCTATTAAGGCAGTAACGAAATTTTTTTATTTACTTTCTTTTATTTGTACTTTGATTTAATGGCCATAAAAATCGCAGGGCAAGGGAACAAACGAGAACGCGCGTGCATAAAAATCGCAAGGCATGCTGTGAATTTTAATATAACGCTGCGTATACGTAATGATTTCACTTCGGTCGTCGCCATTTTGATTTTTCATTTGGCAAGCTGTTGTTGTTGTTGTTGCTATAACTACCAACTGCTGACTTTAATTCTCCCTTTTCACCCCTGCAATTGAAACATGAAATTGCATTTATTGTGCGGCAACAATGCAAACAGGACTCTCGATCCTGTCAGAGGGTCCTGCAAAACTGCCTTGTGACACCGCCCCAAAAAAGTAGGCAGTGATTTTTGATTTATCACCACAATGCGTGTGTGGTATGTTGGCCTGAGGGCATCGCCATATAAATATAAATATAAATACTTATGTACATAAATTGAAATGAAGTGCCAGGCACTTTTGTGACCGTTTCAGAGATTTTAATCTTTATTTATCGCCATTGCGGTTGGCATTGTCCTCAGGGCTCATCCTGCGCTTTTGCGGCTATTGGTGAATTTATGTTAAGCAGCAGCTTTCCTCTCTCCCTCTTTCAGCTTTTCCTGATAAATGTTAATATCTCTATAAACGCATGTATACAATAAATCAGCACATATGTCCATTTTAAATGTTAATCAAAGCAGGGCCAAAAACTATCAATATTTATACATATTTAATGCCTAGCCCTAGGGACCAGTGATAAAAAAGCAAAAAAAAACCAACTCAAAAATAGACCGAATAACAATAAATAACCAAAAATCAGAATGGGGACAAAAAACGCCAAAATCGTATGGTTTCGAGCGAACAATGGAGGACAATCAATACTTTTTTCTGGCCGCTGCAAAACCAAGTCGGACATTCATCGGATGTGGTGACGGTTTGTCGTCTGTATGGGTGTGTTCTGTGTGTGTGTGTGCCACACGTTGCATAAAGCAATCAGTGCAAATATACACACAAAATAGTGCTTTTACAAATAAATATTGCATTGGGATTAAGCCTGTCACAGATAACTCTATTCACATGGAATGATTTCGCTTTTTTCGGGAACTGAAATGCGG